GCCTTAGTCTGCCTGGCACTACAGTATTATAGGGATGGATGTATTTGCATAGTAAGCACTGACTCTCTGGGGATAAATGGTCAAGTGTCAGTCAGAGATGATCCTGATCAGCGACTCCTAATTGTGACCATGAACAATCTGATTATTGGGGACTCTGGTTCCTACTCGTGTGGTGTGGAAATCAACTGTGGGAACACGAATTCACCTGTCAGTGACTGAGAGCAAGATGTCTGTACTGCAGACTGGAGATATTAAGATACACAGTAGATAGGACATTATTTTCTGCTGTTTTTGTATCGTTTTAGAAAATATTAAAAAATTGTTACGAAATGTTCTTTGGTTTAATTTTATATATCCTCCTGAGACCCTACGTCCTCATTTAAGGACATCATTTTTGTTTAAAACTACTAATTGTTCAAAAAAATGATTGTTTTTTATGATTATGAGGTCCTACTAATCCCAAATAGCTAAAGGAAATAAAACATGCACACCAAACAAAAGCCCGGGACTCAGAAGGTTAAGTATGAAACATATGGACAAACACTCGGTGCTGCAGTGGTTAGCACTGCTGCCTCTAAGCCCTGATCTTCTCTGTGGGCCCTGCCCAGCCCCACCCTACCCCCACCCACTACAGGGGCCCCTGAAATTCACCCCAGAAGGGTCGCCTTGCCTCTCCGAAGCTGACTTGTCTGGGGGCCAGAGGTTGTGGGCCCCACACCCTAGTGCCATTGCCCCTTTAAGACATCTGTCTCGGGCTGAGAGATGGAGCTCCAGCATATGAGGTTGTGGGCTCGAATCCGGCTTCAGTCGTACCTCTAAAATAACTGAAAATGCCCAACTTGGCATAAATATAAAACAAATGTACCTTGCTTCAGCAAAATATAATCACATTATATATTTATGATAAAATATTTAGACCAAGAGGTCATGGGTCCATCCAGCTCCAGCCTTATCTCTGAAATAGCTCTGAAAAGTCATATACACCTTATTCAGGAAAACTTACAGTACTTCCAGCTGCAGCCATAACCAATGGGGGGGGGGGGAAATCTCACACTTTGCTTCAGCAAAACTGTCATACATTTTAATTAATAAATTAAAAATGATTCAAATAAATATATAATATATTTATTAATGAAATATAGTAATTAACCTATCATATTTAATTTAATGCAGCTCCTCGTGCTGTGCCTTCCACTCTTCAAAGGGCATCCCTTCTGCCCTTCACAGAATAATTTATTTTTAAACCATCTGTGTCCATACTGCTGCCTCCGTGGCTGCTCACACTTTATGCACATGTAATGCTGATGGCTCACACGTGGTGGGATGGGGAGTCCCTGGGAACTGGCCAAGGCTGCCTTCCTCGGCCTCCACTCGGTGGTCCGGCTCCAAGTCTTTAACCCGGGCAGGTTGCCGGGGGAGTCTGCCTGTGAGGGAGCCTGCGGTGTCGGCGGGGCGGCTATGGTTGGTTCAGGTGTCAGCGAGGCAGGCAGGACTGATGCAGGGGGCAAAGGAGCAGGCTGGGGTTGTGGAGTAGGAGTAGCGACAGCTTGCTGCAGTCTCCTCACAGCCTGCCCAGACAGGTCTGGAGGGGAGGAAAAGCTGAACGGCCTCAGGTCAGAAGGAGGTTTACCTGGGCTCAGGATGAGGGGTGGCTGTTGTCAGGCTGGGGTTGGGGAGAGGGATGTCCATGGAGAGCACAGCATGTTCTTGCCGCTTCACTAAATTATTATGCCTACGAGAAACGAAATATTTTTAAAATAACCTTAGTCAGTTAACGTGTTCAAAAAAAAAAAAAAATCCCTCAGTTGATCCCAAATGTTGGCTGAACAGACAGTGTACGCTGGTTTATTTCTAAAAGCTGCAGTGATGTGGCCTGCATGAGGCCCGGGCTGCTCGGGACCGGCCGTCTGATCCTGCTGTAGTCCTGCAGGATGGCAGCCCAGCCAGGATGGCAGAACAACTCAATAAATGCAAACATTTGTTGACACAATGCAAGGCACAATGAAATACAAAATTGATATATTTATACAATGCTTCCCGAAGAATTTTGGATCTTCTTAAGTAAACAGGGCTGTGTCTATTAAATACTGCATTCACAGCAACTACTGGAAAGTTGTATTACTAATGACTACATAACTTTTCTGTACAAAATATTTTTATATTACATTCTGAGCAGTTACTGACAGGACTTGTGGGTAATGATGCCGACTACGTAACTGTAATAAATGTGGGTTCTTTAACGCAGAAGACTGCAACAAATACCCGAGCCTGTAATGATCACAGCCCAAGATTTATGTAGAAGGATCGACAATCTTTATTAATTCATGGACATCTTTTCTGCAAATAAGAGTAAAAAAGATCGCGAGGGCAGAGGCAGCCAGCAACACCAAACAATGGGCTTCATTACATCACACATTAAGTTAAAGCTTACAGCCCTCCAAGGAGGCACTGCTGTGGAAGCCCATTTCCGCTACCCGCAGGAGAAAAAAACCCATTTATCTCAGAATTCTGACTTTTTATCTCTGACTCTGATTGGATGGTTCAATGACCCTTGAACTTCCTGCCGAAGGCATCGTAAAATATTCCGTGTTGCTGAACGTGAGGAGGAGGATGGAGGACATAACATGTAATAAGTGTGGGACATGTGCTCTCTACATAAGAGAAAAAAAACGGTTATTTCTTAACTTCAGGTATAAGCGAGAGAACGGGAGCTTTATAGTTAGCCATGTTTTAACTGAAGATTACGCCTCTGTGGCTGTGGCCCGGCTACTTTTTCTCACAGCATGTAATTGAGAAAAAAAGAACAACTGAAATGCTACTGTAAAAAAAACAAAAAAGAGGTTCTCCATGTCACGCCCCGCTCCGTCCGCTCCTGATGTGTGCCATGCCCACCTCATTACCTCGTGTTCATCCCTAAATATTTTTCCATTACATGTAGAATAATGGGTGACCTATTGTGGTTTAATCACTTTCTGTTTGTAGTGCGGAGGTTAAATGTAGACTGACAGAATGATTTTACACTAAACTGCAGTCTTGTTTGTGTCCACTATGTGGCAGCAGTATACAGGAATGGTCTTATTCTGTCTCATGGCTGGTGTGTGTATAAATTCATATACACCAATAGCATGGAATTCTGCAGCCAACTTCGTGTCTGAGGGATCAAGGTAAGAGTGAATTACATACTAACAACAGTGACAGAATTATATTATATTATATCTTTTCTTTAGGAAATTGTATAGTTGCATAGTTAAAGTAACAGGAAATCCAACAGGAATGGGTTCTTAAGGGAACTTTGCCAAAAGCTGAAACAAGACTGTAAGAATGACACTAATCCATCACCAGCACTGAGCCCCCAGCTTCTCAGGACAGGAAATCAGCCCAGACCAGGTCCCACCCCCCAGCCAGTAAGCTGTCTGGAAGCTGCAGAGTGGTCCAGTTAGACAGCACTGGGTGATCTAGGTGTTGGGGCGGGGGGGCAGCATGGTCACAATAGAGGGGGAAGCAACAGGAAGTAGAAGCGGAGGGTGAGGGTGATGTAGAGCCCCGGTCACACAGGCCACAGCCAGTCATTACTGTAAGTGATGATGTCAGTCAGGTGGGCTGTGCAAAGGCAGCATGACAATAAAGTTTGTGGACAGTTGGTGAGAAGGGGCCGACACCCCATGCAAACCGAACAGGAGAGAGCAGAACCTGTATAAACCAAGTGGAGGGGAGAAAGTGGGTTTTTTATTGGACTCCAGGAGTCCAGGGTCACAGACAGAGAAACAGTGATGGTATGGAGAATCATAATCTGTGTAATGAAACGACAGGCTGTGAATTTGGGCGTCTGTGTCTGCGTGTGTCTGTCGGGGGAGAAACACAAACAGCACTCAGTCTGATAGGACTGCTGATAAGGCCCAGGTGAAGTGAATCAATGTGCTCATCACCTGACCCCCACCCCCCCCCTCCCCGGGAGGGCTGGATAGGCCCCTAATAGGCCTCTTGTTCCCTACTGTTCCACAGATATTAAAAGGACCTACTGCAGTGGCACTATAGAAAACTGTATAACACATAATAAAGGCTGAACCAAAGGCCTGAGGTCAGACCCTCTGTATGCAGCACACAGTGTTTCTGCAGAGTCTCACCCTCATATACTGCATGACGACATTTCTGCTTTTCAGAATAAGTGTCTGTCTAAAAATAATTTCTGCATCATGCTCATGATTTAGCTGCTTTCTGCTCATGCATGAGTGAAGAACAAGGAAATCAAACAGTTCAGAAATAAATCTGACATATTTGCTTCACTTGCATGTATTTTTATTCTCTGAGCTACAATGATTCTTGAGAGGACCGGAGAGCCTCGGAGGGCCAGTGAGGCCGGAGGGTGCTGAGAGAACCTCAGGGCAGGAGCAGGAGGACGCTGTGGCTCCTCTCTTCTCAGCCGCAGCAGGAGTGTCATCAGGCGGGATAACGTCCAGCAGACAAGAGTCTGGGTGACGGATCCAGATAGTGTGTCCCTGTCTCCCTCTGTTGGAGACGGAGACTCAGCA